GTTTTAACTAAACGGGACAAGAAATACACCTCGGGGTACAATTTTACAAAGGGTTTTTATTTAACAATTCCAGATTATCTCACACTGATTAGAACAGGGGGGGGGGGATAGGGTGTACTTAGACCCACCACAGGATTGTTACAGACAAAGGGATGGGGGGGGGGGAAGGTTCCTTCCAACTAACACCCACCTCAGGAGTCAACTGGCAAAAGGGTCCACACCCAACAGGATAGGTCTCCACAAACTGGGACTTAAGGTCACTACTATACTCCACTCCTCTTGGGTATCTACAAAGGGCATGGGTTTTATCAATACAATGTCCTGACCACAATACACAAAGGGTGGACAAAGTAGATGGGGGATAACACCACGTGACACAGAGAGCCGAGCACATGAATAAATAACACAACACATTACCTACACACACGGTTCTAAAATCCTTATTTATACACGGTCCTAACTCATACAAAAGGGGAAGCACCGCTATAAAACATCTGACACTGCACTTATTGTATTGCTGGAGACCATCCCAAGCCACACAAGTGACAGGTCCTTTCCCTCACTGCCTCTCTCCACCAAGTGACTAATAGAGAGCTCCAACGTCTCTCCTTAACCGCCCAGTTCCAATAATGTTTATACAAACACATACGTTTCATATAAATAAACTATTGGGGAATGTGTATGTCTTTAAATGTTCCAAGCTGTTTTTCTACATTTAACACAGTCGTTTCTCTATATTTTCTTGCACTGAATCTGCTTTTTAACCATTTATCACTTTTGTTTACATTGTTTTTAGAAGAGGACATTTTCCTGTTAAGATGATGCTCTGTGCATCTGCAGCCTTGGACGGGGTTTTCAACTGTAAGAGTTCCAGACTGTTTTTCAACATTTAACACTGCTATTTCTCCCTACACAAGGGTCTCTCTCTTACATGGTTGCTGGTTGGATCCACCAGGCTGATTGATGCTGCTCGAGACTTGACTTTTGAGTCACAGCCTGGTTGATCAGGTATCCTTTGAAGGTGCTTGTTGAGTTCTATTTTAAACAGTGAAGTCAACCAGTTATGTCCCGTGTGTGAACCCCTGAAAATATTGTAGATTGATGATGCAAACAAATTCTTCAAGAATGTGATACCACTGCGGAATCACACATCAGATGTTACGCAGACGATGAGTCACAATAACATGATTCAACTTTCCAACGGGTCACTATGCACTTTGTGATGTCTGTAATTAGTAATCCATGGCCGTAGTCCTAAGAAATCCTAGTAAAAGTCAAGATTTTAACGGAGTGCACATGATACGTCTTTTCCCCTCCCTCACTCCTACACCTACCACTTGTTCCATCTCACCTTGTGCAAGTTCGAAGGTCTCTGTCCCCTTGTCTCTGGACATTCACCGGCTTGCCTCCGTCATGCTGCCTGTTAGGTGAATGACACCTTTGACCCAGAGTCAAAGTTCACCACTTGCTCAGTGTTCACTTGTTCACCACTTGTGCAGTGATTTACCAGATGTTTTCCTGGTGGAGTGACACCTTATCTCCACCTCTGAGGAAGGCCAGGTTCTGGCTCTGGTCCCTGGTAGGCCAAACAGAACTCCACAGCTTATATGACCTAGTAGTTGGGAGCCATCATAGTGCAACACCAAAGCTGCCTGCACCTGATTATCAGTATCAGTGGACTGGGTGAATTGGAGCACCAGCAAGGAACACCACTTGCAGGACTCTGGGTCCAAGGTGTCCTCAACCTAACAGGCAGCATGACTGAGGCAAAGCCGGTGAATGTCCCGAGACAAGGGGACAGAGAAACCTTTGAACTTGCAAAAGATGAGATGGGACCTGGGAGGGAGGGACACATCCATTAGACCAATGAGCCCCAATGGGGTTTTCTAGGGCCCTTAGGCTGACTGCTAAGGAAAGCCCAGGCAAGGTACTGCTAAGCGGTTGGCCCAAACAACCGAGAGAACAATTAAAGCTGAACCCTTGCAACATGTACAATCGCAAGGACTGAGCGGGAATAACAGAGGGTGAATAACGACCAAGAGGCAGCCCCCCCCCCCCACTAGGTAACAAACAAAAAGAAAAGAAAAACCTCTCAAAAAGACATCTCCAGGAGGAACAGAACCGACCACTGTGATAATAGGTGACAAGCTGCACTGTACCTTGCGACGATGCTACCTTAAACCCAAAGTCAAACAGTGGCTATGAAAACCCCAGCTCACCCCAAGGGTGGGCAATCACCGAGCAGCAAAAGATCCCTATGGAGGTAGTTCCCGAACGACTTGTGGAAGATAACCCCAAGCTGCAAGGGGCATTATTTACAGAGCCCCTAGGGAAGATGGCCCTAGGCGCATGCAGCCCCAGTACTCTGTGAATTACTTATTCGCACACCACCACACAGCAGAACAACAACGCAAAGGCACAGCACTGCACAGAGACAGGAGCCGGAGTCAAACGGCTGCCAATCAACACATCAGCCTCAGAACTGAGGTTGGATGACCGGCACGGGAGTCTAGGGCTCCCCCTTCCCCCCTCCCGAGGAGGGGGAAGATACACAAATAGCGGCGCGGCGACAGTTGAGATGTCATGCTTGTGTGCTTGTTATCGGATTGGGAGTTCTGCTTGATAGTTCAGCTTTTGGTAGCAATTTTGAACCAGGTGGAGTTTGTTTTGGGATGCCTACCTATCTGGGTGCCTAACCCAGTAGATGGCCAACATAGAATGCTTCCAACCAAATGGAGGTTCCTGTAGGCCACTGCTCCTCATGCCTCTCTGATGGGGGGCCAGGTTCTGGCTTGTGGTCCCTGGTAGGCAAGCACTCCAATCGAATTGACTGATGCCACAGTCTAATATTTGTGGATATTATATCTCATATCTCATATCAGACCCGGAGGGGCTCTCCACAAAAATGTATACAAATTGGTGACATTAGTCTCCTTCAATCTATTTATACATGGAATGCAGAGGTAAAAATCTTCAGATTCTATAACAGTTGAAAACTCTCCTGTTCATCACGTACACAAGATATTCATCACTGCCTCACAGAAACTTTTACCAGAAAATATACCAGGAAATAATACATTTTGCACATTCTGTCATCAACAACAAAGTAATTGCTAATACCAGTATCTGAATCATCAAACTGGGTATATGTGGCTAAAAACCTCACAACAATACCACATGTCAACCATGGTAGTAGTGGTTCTCACTGTGAGCCCAACATGCCTGTGAATGCCTGTACACTCTCGAGAAGCTGGATCAGGAGTGTTAGCATGAGTTACAGTAACCACAGCTCCACACACGAACCTGTTTTCAGATGTACACAATACATCTTTCATGAGACACCACAAACTTTGAGAGGAAGGCAGTACCACCACCACCACACTTCGCTAGGGCTATTAGTACTGCCATCACCACCAGCAACACTTTCACTGTCATCACTGTTAACATCTAGTACACTAAATTCAGAGCTGTTATTTTCATCATGTTCAACTCACTGGTTGATATCCTCCTCCATTATATGATCGGGAGTGTGGAGTGAGATGCCACAAACATCGTCATGCTTGTCAGGTGTTTCCTCACTCCCCGTTTCCAACTGAGAATGGTCTTTTGAAATCTAAAATTCATAGGCACTGCCCAATAAGCATTCCTCAGCACTTAGAAACTTTTTTATTCGATTGAGTAAGGAATTCTAGTATTGAGAGACAAGCTTCCTTTCTGTGCACCTACCGCATCTCAGAGCTGGAAGTGCATACATCAGTCATGGCAAATGTCGTTACTCTGATACTCTAGTAAAATGCCAGAGTATCCTGCATTTGTTCAAGATGGAAGACATCATCCAGGACCTTAATATGGAGCACCACTTGGTTTCCGAACCCCTTGGGGATGAGACCTGTCGGTTAACATGTAAGTTCGTATACGAGAAATGGAGGGAAAAAAATTGAAAAATTTACAAAAAACTCTAGGGGAAAAATCGACAGGTTCATAGCATAAATGCGACCGTATTATGTTTGTACTCGCCAATAATTGAAGTCCTGATCTGCTTATGTTGATGATCGATGTTGATGAAGCATAGTTCTTTACACGGAAGAGGTGGTGGTGGATGTTGATGGTGTTGGGTTGACTGAAGTTGCTGGGTTGACTGGGTCAACATGCAATGAGTCAAGTGCAGGTGATGCAATGCGAGCTTTCTTGGAAGGCATTGCAAAAGACTCTTTAATTGACATTTGTTTCATTCCCTTGGCTCTTGTCTTCAATATTTTGCTGAACTTTTTCCATATTACATTTTTCCTTTAACGTTTCTTCATCCTCTTCCTCTCCATCTTCTTCATTGCACTCTTCTGGCTTTTTTGCTGTACTTACTAATTCTATAATTTCATCATCAGTCATGTTTCGATTGTTTGGTGCTTCTTCATCAAAATCTATACACCTATCTATGTCATCTTCTATTGTTTCAGTCACCAGTTCTGCTCTCAGCTCAGGGGACTTCCTCACCCGAACTTGGTTCGTGTAGGGTAACCCCAACCACGGCCGGCGTGAAGCTTGGCGGACTACTTCCTACCCGAACTTAGTTCGTGTAGCATGACTGGAAGTTTTGGATAACTAAAGTTCGGGAACCAAGTGGTGCTCTGTAGAGCAAATGACCTCATAGAAAGAGCGAGACTTTTAAATATGATGGGGTATCTTAAATCATCTACAAGTGATCAACACAGAGCAGCTAGTCGCTTGAAACAATTGGAGCAGTGTAAGGGGATTAAAGGGGTCACAGTTTGAGCCTGATCTCTCATAGGTGCTCGTCAATCACTAGTCTCTCACATAGCACTTGGGTTTGGAGAACACCAGGTGGATAGTTCAGCAAGATACAGAAGGCAGCCCTTCCAGAAAACTTAATATTAATACAAATACTATATTAAAATACATTAACATTTAATAAATTGTCTATTATTAAATTATTAATTATTATTATTAACATTTTATGTCATTATGATTATTTGAAAACTAACCTTTACAAAGTCGACCTTGACCTTATTTCCTCTGAGAGGACTCTCTTGACCTCCAACTATAAGTGTGTTGGAGAGGACTGTGAATGGAACGTACTCATCATGAGCAACACCTCGACCTACTCTGCCAAAGATGTCTAGTGCTGGAACCACTGTCATATCACTGTTCATTACAACATCAAAAACCTGAAAGCAAATGAAAGCTGAATAGTCTGGCAACTACAATCTAAAACAAAATTTTCAAAAGAATAATTGACCTTTGAGAAATTTTTATATTAACGCTGGCATGGTTAGGCTAGACAATATGTAATATAAACTTCGTAACACAGAGAAATTACAATGGCATGATATATCAATGCAAAAATCATTTAGGGCAATGAGGCGACTTTAACATTCTGGTGATTGCCAGACATGCCTTAACCCACTCGGCTACGATTGAATGGCTTTTGTTCTATTGTGGCCGAATAAGTTAAGGCAGGCGTCTAGGAATTCTTAGAACGCCAGTTCAAGTCACCTCATTGCCTGAAATGTTTTTCTCAAATTTTATAATTATGAATATTGTACCTGCCATACCAATTGTGATAATGTGTGTATTGTGAACTGAGAGAATTGGTTTTCCCCAGTCTTGGGGACAGGAAGCTTGTTAGGTTTAGTGAGGTCTCAAAGGCCAGAGATTTCAAATCATTTTAATATGGTGGATCCCCTAAAATATTTTTCATATACTGTAGGAACTCTCACTTTATGTAAACATGCCTATAGATGAGATTTGTGATAAATACCCATTTGTTATTTTTTGTTAACTATTCCGTTTACGATTAATAATCTGAGTTACATGGGACTTTCCCCCTCACCAATTCAAGTTAGCCAAATTTTTACCTGTAAAGTCCAAAATTAAACAATTTGAATTTATTCGGGTTTTCACCCAACAGAAATCTCAGTAAATCGGACTTTTATTCAAGTTAAGCAGTCAAAAACAAACTATTTTATTCAATCTACTCAAGGATTCGGGTTACTGGAATTCAAATTAATGAACTCTTACAGTATACTTCTTACAGAACCACTGAGGAAGGTTTGAGAAGAACCCTGGTTGAAAAAATATTGCCCTAGGCCAATAACTGACTTTCTCCAGGATGCAACATAGTTGCTCAATAGTTTGCTCGTCCAGAAATCTGCCAGTTCTTTTGTCCAGCAAGGCCATCCAGTGGGATGGCCTTGCTTCAGGAGAACATGCAACCTTCAAGACAAGACCATGTAACCATTGTTGTAACCTATTTTGTCTAATGCAGTTTTAAATAAAATAAATACATAATATATATACAGTGCACTCTTGATTCAACAAACTACATGGAACCACCACCAATTTGTTGCAGCGAGGAATTTGTTGCAACCAGAGATTGCTCCAGGAGGCCAATATTTGTGAACGAAACAGTAAAATCTCAAAATGGAAACGAATCATAATAGTTGGTTTTAAATGTGCTCAATAGGAGGGAGGCCGGGTCAAGAACTGTGCCGCGGTGATGCTAAACCCCAAAATCATCGCAAGGTATGGTATGGCTTTCCCAAGACCAAACTCTTTCTTATAATGTTGCACCCTTATACAAAAATCATTAACCCTTAGACCGCGCAATACAAATGTAGACGATTTGAGTAACATTACCGATACCGCACAATACATTAATAGCTACACACAGAGATCACACTAACGTGATACATCAAATGAACAAATCCACAAGGGCCGTGACGAGGATTCGAACCTGCGTCCGGGAGCATCCCAGACACACTGCCTTAATCGACTGAGCTACGACAGGGTTAAAAGAGTTGAAACCGAAGTTCTACTGAACTTACTGGATCCCGTAACCTCTCCGAGGCACAAACCAGGATTTTACACAACTCCCCCCTGCACCTGAACTATGTCAATAGGCCGTTCTCCCTCTTCGCCCTTACATCATTACACACAGAAATCACACTAACATGATGCATCAAATGAATAAATCCACAAGGGCCGTGACAAGGATTCGAACCTGCGTCCGGGAGCATACCAGACACTGTCTTAATCAACTGAGCTTCGACAGGGTTAAAAGAGTTGAAACCGAAGTTCTACTGAACTTACTAGAGAGGCTATGGGATCATATTGCGAAAAGGGAGAACAGCTTATTGACATAGCTCGGGTGCAGGGGGGGAGTTGTGTAAAATCCTGGTTTGTGCCTCGGAGAGGCTACGGGATCCAGTAAGTTCAGTAGAGCTTCGGTTTCAACTCTTTTTAACCCTGTCGTAGCTCAGTCGATTAAGGCAGTGTGTCTGGGATGCTCCCGGACGCAGGTTCGAATCCTCGTCACGGCCCTTGTGGATTTGTACATTAATAGCTATTTTAGTGTCTAGCGCTCTCATTTAAACACCCCATGTGGGATAGGGGCAGCTATTGTACAGCCACGCCCAATAGTTGGCAGACCCCACCTAGAAAAAAAATCGTGGCCAACATTCCTGGGTGAGAGAGCCTCAGTACCGAGCAAGCCACCAAGGCTGACGTACGTAGCATTAGCGCACCGCACTGCTGTTCAGCTTGTGACCACAGCATCGCCTAAAAGTGTTAAAATATATATGTAAATGCTATTATTTAGCGATGATAGTATTACAGAAGACTCTTGACTGCGATAAAACTGACCAGGATTCTGATAATAGCAGGATTGTGGTGATATTTAGCGCTATGCTCCATGGAGGGAGGAGTAAGGCTGTGGGAGGGAGGGTGGTGGCGTCGTCTTCTGACTCTGTGTGGCCACCTTTTATTGACTGCACTCACCATACCAGCTTAGTGGTTTGCTATGGTGAACACAAATGTAGATACTTATATATATAATGTGTGTATAGTGTGTAATAACAGCAATAGGACTATGTTGGGAGCCGCCATTTTGGTGAAGGAGGTGCGGTGTCTGCACGACTTGTCATATTGTTTACTGGTGGCCACTATGGTCTTTGGGCACCATACCAGCTTATTTGTACAGGTATAGTGAATAAAACATGTAGATACTTATATATAATGTGTGTATATAGTGTACTAACACCACAAACAGTATTGTTGGAGGAGAAATATTAGTGCGCCTGGCCTTGAACCAGTGACGGCAGCAGCCACCAGCTGACTGTGTGTTTAGCTACGTCTATTATTGCTTGAACTCACCCTACAAGCTTAGATGTACAGTTATGGTGAACAAAACATGTAGATACTTATATGTAACATCTGTGTATTGTGAATAAATGCAAAAACAGTAAGGTGGGAGGAGTATGTTGGTGAGTGAGGAGGTGAGCGAGGGAGTGGTGGCGAGTGGCTGACTGGCTGGTGAGTAACGGCCACTCTTCGTTGCTTTTTGACTCACAATACCAACTTAGTGGTTCGTTATGGTGAACAAAACATGCAGATACGTATATGTAGCATGTGTATATAGTGTAATAACAACAAAACTATTTGTTTATTGTTTTATGAACATCATAATTGAATCACTAAGATGAACAATGCAAAGGCACAGCACTGCACAGAGTACAGTGATGGTTCACACATTTTATTTTATAAATATATCATAATACACACTATTGAATAATATTACTGAAAAAAAAAAAAATCAATCAGACATTGAAATAATTACGTTATATAATCTTTGTGGCAACCCCCTCATGCAGACCTCGTCTGGTGACTGTTCTGTCAATGCCTCTTTTTTGCCACACTTCCCCGCTCTATTGCGCCAAAAATATGCCACCTACAATTTATTTTTTATTTTTCCCGTGATCAGGGAACATAAATGAACATTTTTATAAGATGAAAGAATTTTTTTTTTTTTGTTGCGCCTATGGGTGTTGAAGCCATTATGACCCTTAGTGGCCCAAGGGTTAAAAAGTGATTGGAGCCACATTAACAGTTACCATTCATCCCCTAATGTTTCCCATGCTCTATGGGCTGATTTCATTAAGGAAATCTTTACTTTTTAACCTATTATATAATGAGCAAGTTTTTCCACAAGTCTGTGAACTCTGTCCCAACATCCTAAAAGCAAATCTGCACATCAGCCACTTCAGTGAACAGAGTTTGTGGAATCCAGTGAGTAAATCCTGCCTGGAAAGTGTGTTTCAACCTGAATTCTCTCTCCAGGTCAGCAATTTCTTCAGCTTTGAATGGGGTTGTTAGTGTGCAACAATATTCCACTCTAGTGAGCACTAATGTCTCAATAAGTATCATCATTGGCATGGCATCCCTTTTTTGCAAGATCCTTGTTATCTAACTTCCCCTCCCCCCAGAAAAAAAAGTTCTGGAAACAAAAAAAATTACATTGTTAATTAGCATCCAAGAAGCATGAAAATCGAAGTAAAAAGTCTCTACCTATCAAGGTTTAGCTGTAGAGGCCTGGAAAAGTTGCATTTCAGTAAAAAAATGAGACAAGGCACCACACTTTGTTTATGCTAACATGTTGTATTGATGTGTTAATAGTGGTGTTTATAATGTGTAACTGAAAATATACGTATGAACAGAGTATACATATATGCACACCCTGTATTTATTGATACATGTACTAATATATGCATACAAGGCTAAATCTTATAATTGCACATAGCACACATTTTGCCTGTAAATATATACATAGTACTGTACTGTAATTACTAATTTGCTGCTGTTAAATTTGATGGTCCCTAGCATAGCTGCCCTTCACATTCAGACACTGAATGCTGATGCACCAGACATGGTCTGCAGATTTTTACTAAGGGCCTGGAAGAAAACAGAGGGACTCGTAATATTTTCCAAATATGGCAAGTGATTGACAGGTGGCTCTGGTGTTAAATGACATCCCCCCATTGGGTGGGGCTTTTTATAAAAAGATTCATCATGAACCGGGACAATTACGGTGTTTGTATGGAAGCATGATATCTCGGTTACCAAGAGGCAACAGTTTACATGTATATTGCGACGGGTCGGTGGCGGAGGATGGCAGGGCAGGGTGTGGTGTCCTAATAAGGGAATATATGGAGTTTGGGACTGTGGACAGGATAATTGAACTCCGGCTTAGTAATTATATATCATCCACACAAGCTGAACTGCAGGCCATTCTGGCGTGTTTGGAGGAAGTACGTCATGACGACAAAAATGTTTTTGTATTTGTCGATAGCCGAGGAGCACTGGAGTCCTTAAACAGTCGAAACCCAGTCTTCATGTCTATAGTTGAGGATTGTAAGAGAAGAATAACTGAGATACAGCTGAAAGGTCATAGTGTGAAATTCATGTGGATTCCATCTCATGTTGGAATAGTGCTCAACGAGGTGGCGGATGACTTGGCCAAACGTGCCACATCAAAACCACAAATTGACATTGAATGTGAATTCACAATGAGACAAATAAGAAGCAAAATCAGAAATATTCAGGCACAGGCAGGAGTGGAGAGGAGAGGGATAATGTATGAGAGAAGTCTAACCATGCAACACTACATGTGAGTCAAAACACCCATTTCACTTATGGTAAAAGGAGAAATGCTTGGAGTGACTCTGTGTACATGCGGCTCAGGCTTGGGTACAAATATTACTGGGAATATGGGATAGGTGCTCATGATAATGACACAAAGTGTAAACTATGTGGTATGTTAAGGTCTCACACCCTTGCCCATTATGTTCTTGATTGTCCGTTGATTAATGTATATAGAAACACTGAGATAAGGACTGTTCCTGAGCAAATAGCCTGGATGTGTCACAAAGGAAAGGTTGATGATATGCTTGAGAGATATAAGAATTTTGCACCAAGACTGTAATATTTTGTTGAATTATCCGTATAACTAGGTCATAAAAGTATTTGTGTACGTCTGATACCATACTACTTGTGAAGGAGGAAATGTACATGTTTATCTCTCAGAATGTTTGGTAACAGGTTTATTGTTTGTGATGTGTGTCTATGTATGTACTAACACGTTGTACTGAAAGGGGTGAGAATAGCTTGCGCTACCTCATCCCTTTGTGTGTATTTTACCTCAATAAACTTATTTCAATTTCAATTTCAATTTTATAAAAATGGGGCTCCTAAAATCATCTCCAGGCAATTGGCGCATATGGACAAATCAACTGGAGATGATTGGAACAGCTTAAGGGTTAATTAAGCTGATGCCTTTACACCTCATGAAAGTGAGGAAATATGGAAAATAATGAAAATTTTCAAGAAATTTCTCCACTATTGGAGTTTGGCTGATAATGATTCTTAAAGAGGATTTACTTTTATTTAACAAAAGTTTTAAAAATATAGAGGCTGATCACAAACCTTTTGATCAGGTGCATTGAAGTACACCTCTGAAAATTTAAGAACAAGAACGTAGTCTCCATCACCTTTGAGAGGAACTTCGTATCCAAACGTTGAATGGTGATACCTCTCGGTTTGATATAGTACCTGCAACATATATTTATAGATAAATACTTTCAAGCAATATCAATAATTTGAAGAAATTACATTAAAAAACAGTAATGAATGTGATGAAAAAATTTTCTGGTAGTCTCAGTGGCTTCCTGAAGCTGTCTTGTTGAGATGGCTCCCCACTACTGAAACACACAACAGCCATCCTGTATCACCTGCCAGGGACCAGAGTCACAACCTTGTTACCCTCAATGTGCATAGGGAGCAGGAGATTGATAGTCATCCTCACAGAGAAAACATTCAGAAAGCCAGCAAAACAATATAGAGGTGAGGTTCAAAGAAAATGAAGCACCAAAACAGCCAAACGACTCAGCCTGCATCTGATAAATCAAGAACTGACACCTGGTAGAGGGAAGTAGGTAATCAGAGAGACACCAAAGTCCTACCAGAAAGAGGCCTTTCATTATGTTCAGTGCTAGTTTTCTAGAGGAAACCAGTTAAAAAAAAAAAAAAAAAAAATAACAACTGAGAAGACAGAAAAAGGCACTTACAACACTCATGAAGATGACACACTTGGATAGGAAACCCGATCTAGGGTAACAAGCCCAAATGGGTCCAGGAACATTAACCAGAATCTTGATAAACCTCCAAGATCCCCACACTAAAATATCAGCTCATGACATTTATTTATTTATTTATTTATTTATATATATATATATACAAGAGTTCTTACATTCTTGTACAGCCACTAGCATGCATAGTATTTCAGGCAAGTCCTTAACCCTTAAGCCGCGCATATCATATATATATGTTATTAGTGATAAAACCGAAACTGCGCACATCATTTATATATGCTTTCGTGTCTAGCGCTATAATATAAATGCCCCGCGTGGGATAGGGGTAGTCATCGGCAAGCCTCAATCGACCATAAACAAACCCCCGCCTGGGAAAAAAATCCAGCGTGGGTCCCCTTTGTGTACAGGCCTCAGTTACCCAGCGGACACCATGGCGAGCACATCAAGTTTCAATGACCGACCCTGCTCAGCGAGGCGTTCCTCGCGACCTCTGATCGAGGATGAAATTAACAAGAATTTGTTCCCGGATGGTGATGAGTCTGATATTGACGACTCAGACTTTGATCATGACTACACACAGCCCTCAGAGGTGGATATGACCGACGACGAGTGTGAACATGTTGGCTCCACCAGGGCTAGGCCTAGCATCTCGCCCATGCCTCCTCGCCCTCACTCGACCCCAATTTATGCAAGACCACACAGTTCATGTGCAAACTTGCAAGATGTTTTGCTCGACGAGTCTGAAGAAGGTGAATCATTTTCCGGTTTTAGTGACTTAGAATCGGAAAATAGTTTCGCTAGTGCAAGTAGAGTGTGTAAGGGAAGGTCCCTTACCACAACCAAGAGGGAACAGAAATGAATAATGGTGATGACTTGGTGCATAGCGTGTCAGGTCCCTCTGTGCCATGTCCAATGTTTCAACGAGTATCACAGTCTTGATGACTTCTAAATGTCCAAGACTGGTGCCAAAACATGTAAATACAGAATAAGTGGGTGTATATAGTGGAAATAAATCATAAGAAATTGTATATTTTATTGAGAAATAAGACATTTTTGTGCAAATACTTGTGACACTAATATGTGGATACAATATACATTGACAACAGTTTTATCATAATATATATATTCATGTGAGAACATATTGAACCACACCAGTGAAAAAATGGGTGTAAAATACGCCATAGATACTGTAAATAATAACGCGAAAATAAATTTGCGGCAACTCGGGCTCCTTCTCCGTCGCGCCTGACTCACCCCGGGCGCACAGCAGTCCAGCGAAGATGAGGCGTGACGTCATCGCCGATATTCTCGGCTCATTTACGTCAACGGTAAGTGCAATTAAATTTTGTTATTATTTTTCCCATTCCCAGGAATACAAATAGAGAAATTAAAAAGAAAAAAAATTGGAATTTTTTTGTTGCGCCTGTGGCTGTTAATCCCATTTCGACCCCTAGTGACCCGAGGGTTAATCCTAATTTTGTCCAGAATACGACCCGCCTAACCGCTTAACAACCAGGTACCAGGCTCGCTCCACCCGCCAACAACATGAAAGTTACCAGAAAGAGAGCGCTGCACTACCCCAAGGCGCCTCTCATTACAATAGAGAGAGCGGTCATACCGAAATGTGTATACTCTCTTCAACTTTCTCATCTCAATTCTCGTCCTAGGTTTTTCAATTTGGTATCAATGTGTTCGCAATAGAATTCTCTACAGGACTAAATGCATATAAAGCCCAAAAGCTCGGCAAGAAAGAAAGTGAGAACGTGTTACCCGGGAGCGCGAAAGAGCAATAAAATGTGTACACTCTCTTCACTTTGGACATCTCAATTCTCGTCCTAGATCTTTCATTTTTGTGTCATTGTGTTCGCAATAGAATTCCCTACAGAAGTATATGCAAATATAAAGTTCAAAAGCCCGGCGTCCCACCCACAGCAAACAGAGAAAGTGACGGTGCGTTACCGCAGTGAGCGCTAATAAAGAGCAATAAAATGGGTATATTCTTTTCAACTTTTGTTACCTCAATTCTGGTCCTAGGTCTTTCATTTTGGTATCAATGTATTCGCAATGAAATTCCCTACAGATGTGTATGCATATAATGTCCAAAACCACGGTGCGTCCATCCCGAAACCGTCGCCAATTTGCCGCCGGAAATCACGCAATGTTGCGTCGTTACCGGACTTCCCCCGAGTAAAAAAAACTCGCAATGCTGCGTCATTACCGAGCCAAAGTGTTAAGACTTAAAAAAAAAAAATTATGATTTTTTTTTTCATTTTTCTTTCTTTGCACCTGGCAGTGCTGAAGGCCATTTGACCCATAGCAGCATAGGGGTTAAAGACACACACAAGGGCCTGGTGCACATTGAATTTGGTGGAGCTTTTCAAGTAGCAAGTATTATAGGAGCCAACAAAGGAGCCCTCCCAAAAAATTATGCACATTTTGTAATTGCAAGGTCTTTAACACCTGCATCTGAATCCAGGTCTGGGCAGCATGCCAGACAATCACAGTAAAATACAGTAGTAGGTTGCATGACACTTCTGTTGAACTGTGCCAGAAACAGGTTTATGTGCAATTGGTGTACATATTAGTGAAGATCTAAATACAGAATTTACAATTTTGCAAAATGTGTGTGTACTGTACTTAAATCAAGTTATTCAACACAAACATTACATTGTGTAACTAATGAGTGAAGCGACGAACATAAAAATAGCCAAAGACGAACATACTAGTCCTCTTCCCTGTACCCCAGAGTCGGCAAACCTTGCATCTGGCGTCGACGGACACACTGACCCCAACACCCGGCTTCTTTCTACAGCTCACCAGGTAAAAATAAAAAGCTAGATAGATTTTTCTTTCCCTAAATTTTTGCATGCAAATTTATTTTTCTTTTCATGTGCAAAGTAACAATTTTGAAACTGGCTACATTGAGGGTTAAAAAATATTAGATTCTCGTATTGTACCAGAATCAAGGATGACCAAATATGGTGCTATAAATTTGCTTAAATCAATCATCGCAAAAACCATTTGTTTACATTTTTGGCAACAAATTTGATAAAGGATTCATAACATGGCTTTACTAAGGACCGCTCATGTATTAACACACTTTTCTTTTCCAGAAATGTAAACAGTATTTTTTCAAGCAGCTTTCTATACCTTTATTTTATCCAAGCCTTTGATAATGATGAAATACAGCATGGATATTTCAAATGAAACAGTGTTAACATAAATGGCATTACATATGGGTGGAAAATTGTTGCAAGAGTGTCCTCCTTTGGGCATTTGTTGTCTACCACATATATACACATATATATATGACTCACAATGCAAGACTTAACAGCAATATTTGTAAATTTACAACAAAAATAAAGTGCAAATTAAATTAAAAACTTAAGGGGGCGTCTGGTTGGCATCTGGGTCCAAAAATGCAAAAATGAAAACTCATTCGATTTCAATCAAACTTTTTTGACAAGTTCTATATGAAAAGTGTTTCATCTGGTCCAAGTTTCAGCATTGTAGCATAAATAGGAAGGGAGAAAAAAAATATTGAAGTAGTTGTGAAAATTATGCAAAAATGGTCAAAATCGATTATCAATCAAAAGTGTCAACTGAAATCATAAGTACAACTCTTTGCTATCACAATAGCATATATTAAACAAATATTATTATTAGTTTAATTGGAAAAAAAATTTAAGGAAAAAAAAAAAAAAAGGATTTTTTTTTCTTTTTTTTTTTTTAAATATTTTTTTTTTTCTTTTTTTTTGGGGCGATTTGCATCAAACTTACACACCTGACTGTACGTAAGCCTATCTGTAAGGATGCCAATTTTGGAGAAAATTGGTTGATGTCAACCCCAGCCACAGATTTTAGAACCTTAGACTTTATTCATTTCTGTTTTTTTTTCAATTGACACAAACGTTTACAAAACTCATTCTTTTCTTATTCAATTTACATGAAACTTACACAGTATATGTGGAGGGCATGTCTCTACATTGGGGGGCTTTCATTTTTCTCTAAGTTCATTTATTGATTTTATAATAGCAATAAACATGCCATATTTGCAAAAAAATTTTGGGGAACTTTGAACATTTGTATTAGGAAAACTAAAGATGTTTTGGAAATTCTAAATCCCCAAATCCTTTATTATATGCTAATGTGTCAGAAAAGTGTCACAGAATAATTTTATCTGAAACGTGTGTTCTGAAGTGTGGTCTTGAAAATGTGTAAAAAACGTTCAAAAAAAAAAAAAAAAAAAAAAACTCCCTTTTTATTTACGCTGCAGTACTGAAACTTGGGACAATTTAAGCACTTTTCATATACAACTAGAAAAATAATATTGGTTGACATTGAACAACTTTCATTATAATAACCAGACGCCCCCTTAAACCAGCTACAAGATGATGTAGATAAACACTTAAAATAGACAATAGATTGGTAGATGTAGTTTAATGCTTACAAATATTGCATTCTGAACCTAGGTAATGATAAAACCATCATGAAATGAAATAAAATGCCCTTTCTGTTCGGTCCTTCAGTGTGTGTCTGTTGCTATATCCCGGAGTGTTACATCCAGTCCAAATCCCAACTGACCCTTGCAAGTCCCAAAAGCCAATCAGAGATCAGAGGCCAAAACCTGGTCAGCTCCAAAAGGTGCAAAGAGCAGAGGATAACAGATCACTTTAACCGAAGGAAAAAAACAGCATTGAATGTAATGTAATGCCATTTTCTGGGCGAGTCCCGGAGGCTCCCTAGAGCTTACCAGGCTGATATGTATTATTAGATCGTGGCATCAGTCAATTCGATTGGAGGTCTTGCCTACCGAGGACCACGAGCCAGAACCTGGCGCCCCCTCAGAGGCACAAGGAGCAATGGCCTATAGAAACCTCCATGTGGTTGGAAGCATTCCATGTCTGCCATCGACCGGGTTAGGCACCCAGAAAGGTAGGTGACCCCAAAAAAAACTCCACCTGGTTCAAAATTGCTACTGAAAGGCAAACTATCAAGCAGAACTCCCCAATCCAAAAACAAGCAAAACAAGCATGACGTCACAACTGCCACCGCGCAGCTAGGGGGGGCCCCAGACCTGCAAGAGTCGGAGACCAGAGTCGACGATCGCCATAGTCCACATCAGTCGAAGAACTGAATGCTATAGCGGCCAGCACGGGGGATGTGATCAGCACGACGGAGTTAGTGACGTTTGCTTATTTGCCTAATGTCAAGCAAACGCTAAAGTTGGATTCAGAGTTTGGCTGCTCCGAAAATACCAGAACAGCCTACGGAGCAAAACCTTGCGCAACTGGTAAACCAGAGGGGCAAATATCAGGCTCCTGCACCGTGGCTCGAGCAATCACCGAGACATCCTGGTCCCCTTCAGCAGCAGCTGCCAGCAAAACCAATGTTTCTCCTGGGCTGCTTGCTTGTTTGCTGCAGTGGGGTCTAGGGCGGTTTTCTGTTTCACTTTTAGTTTGCTGGCACTTTGTTCACTTGCTTCTGCAGGAGTTTTTAGCTTTTTGCCTTATTTGGTTAGCCTAGAGCATTTTTCAGCAGCTTCGCCTTTATCGACAGGTTGGGAAGGAGAAGGACCTTGCTGGTTTGGCCTTTTCTTCCATGTCTGGACTTCCTGATGCATTTTTATCGCCATTTTATGGTGATCAGGTGACTGGCTTTACATAGATGCCTGTAGTTTTCTTCTCAGCGAGAGTATGAGGTTCTTTGGCAGGCTTATCGCCATTTTCTCTCTCAACCATCATTTTTCTGGGTGATAGCAGAAGTGCAAGACTTTACATGTAAACTATTCATGTGCCAATGCTCCCATCGCTTTCCTGAGGGGACCAAGGTTCTGGCTTGTGGTCCCAGGTAGGCTTACAAGAATACCACAACTGATGACACTCAAGTAGTATGGCATTTAATCAGTAAGCTAGCTTCATGGAGCCAATGGGGCTCACCCAGAAACTGGCATATCATTACATTCAATGCTGGGTTTTTGTTATTTTTACATTGAAATTTTGTATTTTTACACTGAAATGATTTCTTTGGAACCTATGCAAAAAAACTGAAAAATATTTAAAGCCATGCAACTTACCTGATCACCAGGTGGCACCCTCCCAATAACTAACTGCTTGCCAAAGTCTGATGCCGTGCCCACTTTACCAGTCAGGGGGTCCTTCTCATATCTAACACCATACACGTCAATGTGAGCATCACCACCTGAGAAATAAAATTTGTAAATGTTACCTAATTTTGGTACCTAAGGATGGTACTTTGCAACCCTGATTACCCTCACAGGATTCCATTTGTCATTGTGTTTAAAATGTTTCAAATAACAATCGAGTACAACAAAATGCAAAATGTTTTTGTTAAAATAATCACAATTGTTCAAATTTAAATTGTACAGATACACTCGTTCATATAATATCCAACTACCACTTTCATACAATATCCATCTGCAAATTCATGATATCTAATGCATGATATGCATTCATGGCAACATATCTGCAATGTAATATATAAATGTATAATACACAAGTGTGCAGCAATCCATCTACCACATTAAAAATAAATTTATGTTGCACTATTATTTCATCGGCAGCAAGACAGGCTGCCAAGAGGTGTGCCTGAGTAAAGTGGCACCATGTTGAGGAATAGGAGGAGGGACCTAGTATAGTTTTTCCAGCCCGTCCTCCAAAAATGGGGTGGTAAATGTAAGGAGACAAATACGTGCAATTATGTACTATTCATAGCAGTTAGGAATTGTACTTATTTTCACTTAGTATTAAATCGTACTGTCAAATATATTGTGAATATTTGAGTTTACCTGAAAAACTGAATAGAAAACCACAACCTCACCTAACCGTCTTAGTTTTTGAAGATAATAATTTTAGTGCTTCTTAATTACAATTAGTACTTAACCTATAGCTATATTGATATTACAGTTTTATAAAACTTATAAAACAAAACTAAAATGTATCAATAAATTGTAAAGAAACTCAGGATATTTGAAATTTTGTATAAAATCTATATTGTTTAATAAACCTGAAAAAGAAATTCCCGATATTTAAAACTTGTGTTTAGTTAATTGAAATTGAAAACTTCATCCTAAAATTCTGAGTGTCTTAACAGAAAACGAGGAGAATTAAATCAGGGGAGGGAGTTGGGTAAATGTAACAGCCCCATAAGTGCAATTATGCACTGTTTATGACAGTAAGAAAGTGTACTTATTACACTTAGTATTAAATCGTACTGTCAATTCGGAGGATGGGTTGAGTTTTTCACAGCCACAAATCAATTGCCTCCATCTATGCCAAAAGTAATGAGAAAAGCCCTTAAAAAGAGGCACAGAGTATAAAAAAATCTTGCATTCAATGTAATGAAATGTATCTTTCTGGTTCTACATATATCGTGTCATGCCAGGCACTTGCAAGTCATAAGAAGCCTACTGCAGACCAGATCCAGAACCTGGCCCACTCAATAGAGGCACAGAGCTGGGGATACTAGATCAACCCAAACCAAGAGGACATAACACCAGAATGGTAGAGCACTCCAAGTAAGAATGCCTAAACTCATTACCATAAATACCAGCCTGTAAATACATAATTATTTGTAAATACAGTCATACAAATACCATAATGGAAAAAAAAAAGAGGGCAGACAAGGCTGCACTTACAAGCATCATGGACCAGCAGGCAGATGCAGACTGGCTGCAGATGACTAAAGAAAAATGGCCACAGAAAAAAGAACTAAGGACACTGCATCAACAAACAGAATGACAAGAAGATCAATCTGGGAGGCATGCAGAGAATGGCAGAACACCAAGACCAGATGCAACAAGTGAAATATACATGCCCAGACAAACCCTTCTTGAATGACAATCTTAGCCAAAAAAGATGGTGGCCAAAAAATGAAGAAAAAATCCACCAGGGCCAAAAAACAAAACCAAAGCCTGATAAAGACCACAAATCAAAAGAAACAGCGGAACACAGAAACAAGAAGACTAAAATAAAAACCTGTTGCATGAAATAAAAGGCTATTGCATGGAGATCTTATAAAGAAAACCCCTAAAATGAGTGATGCAGATACAAAAGAGTTTAAGGCGAGCAGGGAATGGTTTGAGAAATTTAGAAAAAGAAGTGGCATTCAGAGTGTTGTGAGTGTTGTGTGGAGGAGTTGCTGGAGAAACACAGCGAAGAACTGACCACCGAACCTTTACCATACCTTTACTTTACTCACTCTGTTTGCAAAAGAAAACTTTATAATGTTTTTTATAGTCCTCTTGTTTGTGATGTTGCTGGTTTCAAGAATTCCTCCTTGCCAATTTGGTAGATTCCTGTTAGAATTTTGTATGTGGTGATCATATCACCTTTTTCTTCTATCTTCTAGTTTAAGCATGTTTAATGTTTGTAGTATCTCCACGTAATTCTTGTTTTTCAGTTCAGGAAGCCATTTTGTAGCATGCCGCTGCACCTTTTCCAGTTTCTTTATGTGCTGCTTGAGATTTGGGCACCATACAACTGCTGCATATTCCAGTTTTGGTCTCACAAAATTCATGAAGTTTTTTTTTAGTATTTTACCATCCATATAATTAAAATCAAGTTAGAACTTGAAAAGTGATGCATACGTTCCTCTCACATTGTTCTTTATGCGTTCCTCTGGTGACAACTTACTATCCAAAACCACCCCTAGGTTTCATTATTATAGTTCTGTAATTTCATTCCTCTAAGTTATAAGCTGTGTGGTCTATTTTCTCCAATTTCACATTTCATAAAACGGTATTTATCCACGTTGAATTCCATTTGCCACTTTATGCTCCGAGCACCAAGTAAAGTAGGAAGGTGGATACTCACTTTTCTGTCAAACGGAACACAGTAACAGTCAATCGTATAAAATCTAGTCCAAGCGCAGTTAAAAGCTCTGTACCTCAGGGTACAGTCCTTGTACCACTGCTTTTCCCTATTTATCAGGTATACTGTAGACTCAAATACAAGTCACAGCTTTGTATCATCCTTTGCAGATGACACAAAAAAAAGCATGAAAATTACCTCTGATGAAGACATTGAAAAACTTCAAGCAGTTAATGTAGTTTTCAACTAAGAAACAGAAAATAACATGATGTTTAACACAATTGCGCTCCCAGCAAAAGGCTCCTTAACTTTCCCCTCGTGCGCCAAGCATTTCGGGCTACCCTGAAATGCCTACCCTACTACGCTACCCTACTCGGCGATACTGAAATGTTTATACTCTTTTCGGTCTGCTGACCTTTATTTTCCATGAATGTATTTAATTTTGGTATCAATTTGTTCGCAAGAGAATGCTCTAGAGGAATATAAAATTTCACCAAAGCCGACGTGAGACCCGCACCAAATAAAAAACTATGGCGATCGTTAGCCGTGAGCGCCAAACAGCGATGAAATGTTCATGCTCTTTTCAGGTTTGTCAACCCCAGAATTGTTCTATGTCGTTAATTTTGGCATCACTGTGATCACAATAAAATTCCATCCACAGACATGAATATAAAGTACAAAACATGGGCGCGCCCCACCCGCAAGGCCGTGGGAAGTTGCCCAAGGGTTACCCGCTACCGCACGGCCAACTGCACATCGGTTACACCCCCTTCTGAAAATTTTATACTCTTTTTCATGTTTTTTACCCTAATTTTCGATGTACGTGTTTCATTTTGGTATCAATGTGTTCTCAATGAAAAGTTCTAGAGGAACATATGTATAACATGTCACCAAAGCTAATGTGATGCTGGCACCAAATAAAAAACTAAGTCGTTTGTTAGCCGTGCATGCCAAACAGCGCGAACATGTTGCTACTCCTTTTCAGGTTTATCAAGTCCAAACTTGTTTCACATCGTTCTGTTTTGTATCACTGTGATCGCAATAAAATTCCCTACACAGACATATGCATATAAATTAGACAACATGGGGGCGCATAACCTGCAACAACCCCTAAAGTGGCCGAAGCCTTACCCGCTAGAGCACACTCATTGCCACACCCGCTACACCCAATACATCAGACAAACACATACAGTTTGCTACCAGAAGTTTTTGTGCAACATTATTCATTGTGGTATCAAATTATTCACAATAAAATGCTCTAAATTGAAAGACAAATATAAGCAATAACAACTGCAATATATATAAGCAATGCCAATAACAAAGTATAAAGACTGAAGTCGGCAAAGTTAACTGTGAGCGCGCAAAATCAGTAAAATGTATATACTCGTCTCAGTTTTCTCACCTTATTTCTCGTGCTACATTGTTTGTTTTGGTATCATTGTGTTTGTAATAGAATTCTCTATAGGGGTATATGCATATAAGGTCTAAAAGCCCGAAGTGACTCCCCACAGCAAAGCCTAAAGTCAGCCAAGTTACCCGTGAACGAGCACCAACTGCCACACATGCAGACTAATGTATATACTCGTTCAGTCTGATAAATTTTTGTGCTACGTTCTTCATTTTGGTATCAAATTGTATGCAACCTAAAGAAGCGTATTTTAAAACTAGTCCCATAATAATAGAGCAATAAATGGAATTTTAACAAATATTTTAACTTTTGGACACTTCTCGACGCTCATCGCCACAAAATTATTTCCAGTGTTCTGCCATCAGTTTTCATGGTACGTCTTTCATTTTGGTGTCACATTGTGCGCAATCTAAAGGCACTTATTTTGAAACCACTCCCAGATTGATCAGATAAAATTTACATTTTTAACAAATATTTTAATGGATGACTCTGGACGTCGTCCTCCGTGACGGAACAGAAGAAACACCTATGACACTAACAGGCATCATGGGAGTGCGAAAGTGTTAACAGTGATAAATTCCAAGTACTCAGGTACGGTAAAAAAGAGAAACTTTAACATAATACTGGGTACAAAACACAGTCAAATGTGCTCATAGTAGGAAAGCAGCATGTAAAGGATTTGGAAATAATGATGTCTGACGACCTAACGTTTAGGGAGCATAACCAAGCAAATATTGTGTCAGCCAGAAAAATGATAGGATGGATTACAAGAACTTTCAAATCCAGGGATCCCATCACAATGGTTATACTATACAAATCACTTGTAGTGTCCCGTCTTGAGTATTGCTTAGTACTCGCTTCACCCTTCAAAGCAGGAGAGATTGCTGAAATGGAGGCAATACAGAGTATATATACGGCATACATAGACAGGATAAAGCACCAAAATTATTGGGAATGTCTCA